AGAATTTCCCCCCAAAATTCCCGAATTTTCCCCAAAATCCCCAAATTTCTCCCCAAATTTCCGATTTTCCCCCAAAATTCATAATTTTCCCCCCAAATTTCCCCAAATCCCCTCGTTTTAACCCCATTTTTTTCCCCCCAATTCCAGGTGAAATGACCCAAAACCGACGGATTTCGCCCCAAAAATCCGGAGCCGCTTCCCCCTCTGGAATTTTCCCGGGAAATTTTTTTTTTTCCCCTCCCCCCACTTGTAAATAATTCCCAAAAAAACCAAAAATCCCCAAAAATCCCCAAAATCCCCAAAAACCCCCAAATCCCCCCAAAAAACCCCAAAAATAAAGATTTTTTTTAAGTTTTAACCGAATTTTGATGTTTTTTCCTTCGGGATTTGTGGGAATTTTGGGGGGGGGTGGGTTGAAATTTTGGGAGATTTTTTTGGGATTTGGAGTCGAATTTTTGGGATAAAACGCTCCAAAATTGGGCAAAACTCGCCCAAATTGGATCAAATCGCCCCGAAATTGAGCAAAAATTCCGAAATTTGAGCCCAAATAGCCGGAATTTTGGATCAAAACCCCAAAATTTGGTTTGGAGCCCCAAAGAACGGCTCCAAACCCCCAAAATCTGCTTTAAAAACCTCAAAATTTGGACAAATTTTTCCAAATTGGGTCTAAAATGCCAAAATTGAACCAAAATCGCCCAAAATTGACCCAAAATCGCCCAAAACTGACAAAAAACCTCCTAAAATTGACCCAAAATCCATAAAAATTTGGGAATTCGAACGGAAAGCTCGGATTTTTTACCGAAAACGGAGGTTTTTTAACAAAAAAAGTGAATTTTTAACACCAAACACCCAAAACTCGACTTTATTGCCCCAAAAAAATTCCATAAAATTAAAAAAAAATTCCCCAAATTCCCCAAAATTCCAAACTCGGCGTCTTCCCCTTCCAGGACCTCACAGCACCTGTGGAGACACTAAAAATTAGCATAAATTTGCATTATTTAACGGGAAATTTGCATAAATACGCATTTAAGTGGCTAGATTTTAAAGGGGCATTTACATAAATTTGCATAAACGCGAAACTTTCTTAATAGGAAATTTGAATATATATAATTTCTTAAAAAACAATCAGGGAATTTGCATAAATTTGCATAAACATGACGATTTAAACTGGGAATTTGCATAAATCTGCGTAAAAAGAGAAGAACGTTTAAAACAGAAAACTTGCATAAATTTGCATCAATTTCGAGGGTTTTTTTAAACACAAAACTTTCAGAAATTTGCATCAATACGTAATTTTCACTGGAAATTTGCATAAATTTGCATTGACACAACACTTTACAGGGAAATTTGCATAAATTTACATAAATATGGAGTTTTAGCAGGAAACTTGCAAAAATGTACAGAAAACTGAAATTTTTAACAGGTAATTTGCATAAATATGTATCTTTTTAACGGGGAATTTGCATAAATGTGAGGTTTTGGCGGGAAATTTGCATAAATTTGCCTAAATTTACATAAATGTGGAATTTTAGCAGGAGACTTCCATAAATTTACAGAAATTTTAAATTTTTAACAGGGAATTTGCATAAAAATAAAACTTTTTTAATGGGAGATTTGCATAAATGTGACCATTTAGCAGTAAATTTGCATAAATTTGCATAAATTTGCCTTGAAGAGGGTGACGCCGGTGCTGTAGAAGAGGCTGAGGAGGAAGAGGACGATGAAGGTTCCGGAAATCCAGAGGTCGGAATCTTCCGGATCCGGATCCGGCACCGGCACCACCGCCAGGCAGCCGGGGCGGAAATCTGGGGTGAAAAAGGGGAAAAACGGGAAAAAAGTGAAAAAAACGTGAAAAAAGGGGAAAAAACCGCAAAAAATTAAAAAAAAAAACCCCAAAAATTTAAAAAAAAAAAACCCAAAAAGGTTAAAAAACCCCAAAAAGTGAAAAAGCCCCAAAAAAGTGAAAAAAAACCCCCAAAATTAAAAAAAAATACAAAAAAAGGTGAAAAAGCCCCCAAAAAAGTGGGAAAAAACCCCCAAAAATGTGAAAAAAACCCCAAAAAGTGAAAAATGAACCCAAAAAAATCCCATTTTTCTCACCCCAAATCCCAATTTTCCCGTGGAAATTTGGGAATTTTTTACCCCATCCCAAAATTTGGGTTTTTTCCTCG